ACCCATCCTCCCAGCCCCTACCCATGTGGCAAGCAACAACAAATTCTTGTTACCTATGCGTCTGTTTCTGTTCTGCATGCTCATTTTATTTGTAGATTCAATTGTTGATAGATGTGTATTAATTGCCATTTTATTGTTGATATTTTTGTTCTTCAAGAAGACCCTTCAACATTTCATATAATACTGGTTTGGTGGTGATGAACTCCTTTAGCTTTTTCTTTTCTGGGAAACTCTTGATATGGCCATCGATTCTAAATGATAGCTTTGCAGGATAGAGTAGTCTTGGTTGTAGGTCGTTGCTTTTCATCACCTTGAATATCTCTTGCCACTCCTTTCTGGCCTGCATAGTTTCTTTTGAGAAATCAGCTGACAGTCTTATGGGAGCTCCTTTGTAGGTTACAGACTGCTTTTCTCTTGCTGCTTTTAAGATTCTTTGTATTTAACCTTTGGCATTTTGATGATGATGTGTCTTGGTGTGGTCCTCTTTGGATTCATCTTGTTTGGGACTCTCTGTGCTTCCTGTACTCTTATGTCTATTTCCTTCACCAAGTTAGGGAAGTTTTCTGTCATCATTGTTTCAATTTGTTTTTCTCTTTCTTTTCCTTCTGGCACCCCTATGATGTGAATGTTGGCATGCCTGAAGTTGTGCCAGAGGCTCCTTACACTATCCTCATTTTTTTGGATTCTTTTTTCTTTTTGCTGTTCTGATTGGGTGTTTATTGCTTCCTTATATTCCAAAACGATGGTTTGCTTCTTGGCTTTACCTGCTCTACTATTGATTCCCTGTAAATTATTCTTTATTTCAGTTAGTGCATTCTTTGTTTCTGACTGGTCCTTTTTGATGTTGTTGGTGTTCTCACTAAGTTCCTTGGAGGTCTCCTTAAGTTCCTTGAAGGTCTCACTAAGTTCCTTGAATGTCTCACCAAATTTCTTGAGCAATTTTATAACCTGTTTTCTGAACTCCGCATCTGACTAATTGCTTATCTCCATTTTGTTTAATTCTTTTTTCTGGGGTTTTGTTTTTTTTCTTTCATTTGGGACATGTTTCTTTGTCCCTTCATTTTGGCTGCTTCCCTGAAATTGTTTCTATGTATTAGGTAAAGTTGCTATGTCTCCTAGGCTTTGTAGGATGTCCTATTGTTGTAGGTGTCTTGTAGGATCTAATGGCACAGGCTTCTTGATCACCCCAGCTGGACTCTCGAAGTGCACCCCTAGTGTGGACTGTACACTCTTGTCTTGGTTGCTGTTGGCACGTCAATGGGAGGGATTTACTTAGGCTGATCGGCTGCAAGGACTGGCTGTGCCCACTGACCTCTGGCCTCCGACTACCTTGGAGGATCAGCTGTGTAGGGGCCCACCACACAGAGCAAAACTTAGCTTCATCAGGGCTCTGGTACCCACTGAGTCTGCTCATTGAGTGTGTCACTTGTGGGGGTGGTTGGGTGGTGGTGTTTCGATATGGTCTGGAGCTGTCCACTGGGTGTGCTGGCTCGGGGCAAGGTCAGCCACTGCCTGTGTTCTGTCCGGGGTCACCAGGCTTAAGCTACAAAGTGATCTGCTGATGGCTGCTTCTTGTGCTGGGCTTGGAGGTGCCCAGGAAAAGCCAAGTTGTCAACCAAGGCTGGCTGCTTCTAGTACCAGGCCTGGGGCCACTTAAATGAGAAGTATGGGGCTAACTGAGACCAGATGCTGCTTGTTTGAGAAATTTTAGGAAACTCTGAAGTTGGATCCAAGACAGGCCAATCCTATGGTAAAGTCTTGGGAAACAGCTTGAGTGGGCCCAAAAGTTGGGTGGGACAGGGCCTCAGGTAATCACCAGGGCGGGGCAAACAGTATGAGCCAGGTTGCTGGAGTCCCAGATATGGTGGCTCTCTGCCGCCCCAGGGAAGTCTCCATCAACCTGGCTATTACTGTTTGCCCCGCCCTGATGATCCCAACACCCCACCCCACCCAACTTTGGGCCTACCCAAAGGAACATCAGCCTCCGCCAGCACATCTGTCCTGGAGAAAGCCCCCTCTCCAGCCCTCGTCCTGAGGCCAGGCAGCTCAGTTTTCCCCTGCATGTCTCTGGCGCCCCTCAAGCTGTCTCCTCTCCGAGCTTACAGGAAGCAAGTTCGAGTAAGTCCATGTGCGGGCCCTTTAAGAGGAGCTTCCTGGGGCCCCACAAGCCTCAGCCTCCCTGAGCCTCAGTTCCCGCTGGTTTTACAGCCCTAAGTTATGGGGATTCTCTTCCTGATACTGGAACCCTGAGCGGGGCACCTGGTGTGGGACAGGGACCCCCTCACTCCTCAGAGAGGATATACCCAGCCTAAGTATCCTGATTTTTATCCGCCACACGTGGGTGAGGGACCAGCCCCTCCATGCCTCGGCCCCTCCTTCCAGTCTTGAGGTGGCTGCTGAAAGGTCTGCGGAAAGAGGAACACACCTGGATTCAGGCAAGAGGACTTCACTGGGGAGTTACCTGCCGGGCTGACTCCTAAGACGGGGTCAGCGCCGGTATCGCTAACAGGCAGGGTTCTATAGGGGATTTATGGATGGGGGGCTGGCAGCCCCTAGAGGGAGAGGAAAATGTGATTTGGCTATTTGCGTAGGTATAACCGAAAGGAGACCAAGGGGGGGGTCTCCACTCCCAAGGTGATTCAACCTGGATACCTGGGGTAGTGATCTGGAACATTCTGTTTCTCAGAATTCTTTTCATACATCAAGGGAGGAGGGAGTTGGAGACCTTGACTGCAACCTAATCAGCTGCTTCTGCTTCTTTAATTCTGTAGTTGTAGGACTTCCATTCAGCTCGATGTCAGGCGGCTCTGAATGATAGTTGCGTTGTAGTTTAGTTGTAATTTTGATGTGGTGGTGAGAGGAGGCGATACTGAGTTGACCTATACCACCATCTTGACCGGAAATCAAGAAATGTATTATTTTAAATTTATATTCAGGAGCTTATTTAATTTTCATAACAATCCTATGAGGGAAATTGAAGTAAAAAGAGCTTTAGCAATTTGCCCAAGATTACACAGATAAGAGTTGATGGAACCAGATTCAAATCAAGACAATTAGACTGCCCTCCCTGGCAGCCTCCTCAAAGCCCATCCGACTTCACCAACAGTTTAAGTTTTCACTAATTCTGTCTTTAAGGTTCTTCCAGCTTGTGTCCACTGCCAAGTTCCAAACCTACTCCCACAATTTTTAGATTGTTTTGTAGCAGAAACCCCTTTTGGTACCAAAACCTGTGTTAGTTATCTATTACTGTGAAAAAAAATTACTCCAAAAGTTAGTGGTTTAAAACAACGTTAAAGCCCTGGCCGGTTTGGCTCAGCAGTTAGAGCATTGGCCCATGGACCAATGAGGGGCAATCCCTGAGAGCAAAACAGCAGCTGCAATGCCTGGGATGGTGTTGTGGGAGAAGTCTCACCCCATTATGTCCACCAAATTCTGTTTGTTAGAAGCAAGTCACTAAGTTCAGTCCACATTCAAGAATAGGGAAATTAGCTCTACCTTTTTTTTTTTTTTTAAAGGAAAGAATTTGTGAATGTATTTTAAAACCATCATTTCTGCCCTGGCCAGCATGGACAGTGGTTAGAGCATCAGCCTGCTCACCAGTGGGTCGCAGGTTCGATTCCAGTCAAGGGCATGTACCTGGGTTGCAGGTTTGATCACTGGCTCTAGTTGGGGCACATGTGGGAGACAACCAATCAATGTGTCTCACATCGTTTCTCTCTCCTACTCCCCCCTCAATGGAAAATTGGAAAAATTTTCCAAATCAATGGAAAAAATATCCTCTGGTGAGGATTATCAACAAAACAAAAGAATCCCCCACAAACCATTATTTCTACCATGTGCCAGGCACCACTAGGTATTTTGCGAATATACCTAATATAATCTTTTTAATCACATAGCATAGGTTGTTGGCCTACCCAATGGGATTCTTTCTTGTTATCACCACCTTTTTGTTCAGGCATCTGGTGGCAGTGTGATTGACCCCTCTAGCCCCAGAGGGTGAATTGTGATTGGTGCAAAAGGCATCTGGCAGTCCCATTTCCCTTTGCCAGTGATTGGTTAAACTCAAAGCGTGGCTATGTGATCAAGCCAAAGGGACTTCAGAATTCTCCCGAGAAGGTTCTAGGAAAGGTTTTTCTCTCTAATGTAAAGAGGCACCTGGGAAGAAGTGCACCCTTTCCCCCCCAGACTTTGTGTCTGTTTGTAATGCCTGGAAATGACGTTGCCATCATTGTAACTATGCAAAGATAAACCTAAGGCCTAAGCCAATGTACTAAGGATGATGGAGCATAAAAAGAAAAGAACCTTTGTTCTTGATGTCATCATAGAGCCCTTGAATTAACTCTGGAACCAATCTTCAGCCACTGTGTTATGGGAGACGATAAGCTACTCTGGGTTGGGTTTCTGTTCCAGCTGAAAGCATGCTAATGGATATACCCTGTTTTACAGATTAGAGAACAGGTGTTCAGAGGGATTATGTCACTTGCCCAAACGTCCCCAGTTAATAAATAGCAGAACTACATTTCAGACTGAGAGCTGCATCCTAAACACCTGGTACTTGTTTATTGTATCAAGTGACTTTTCTCCAGCAATTGTCAGGAGTCAGAGAAGAGAAACAGACGTCAGTGGGCTAGGCAGGGTGAGTGACTGGCGAACAGGTATAGTAGAGGAAGGAATTTAGGGTGCTGTGTGTACAAAGTTGAAATGCTTAACTGAGAGATACAGACTGGGTAAGGAGTCTGTAGAACCCAGAGGGAGCTGATGGAAAGGAGGTGAAGAGTGAAGGTGTTTTGCAGGTAAAGGACAGGTCCAGAAAGCGTGAGGGAGAGGGGAGTGGAAGGAGATGGTAGGAAGGGAGAGAACTCCAGAGTTGGAGATATTAGGGACGCCTCTATTTGTTACCAACAGAGTTTGATTTATGGCCGAGCATGGAGATGATGGTTATCAGAGTGGAGAAGGTCACAGAATTTATACCAAATTTTTGGATCATCCATTTAGGTACGTATTGCCCAGGAGGGTGATGGGCCGCAGAGGCGGAGTGGAGAGGAAGATTGAAGCACAGTCTGCTGGAAGAATTGATGGATTAAAAGATATATATGTATATATTTGGCATGGTCCCCATCCTTCACAGATAGCATCTGACTCACACAGCCCCACCTTGAGGGAAGATTTATAAGAATTACTTTGCGTGAACCAACTGTTCTGCACCCACTGGATGGAGTCGTCAGGAGGAGCGGAGCGGACTGGGGGCAACAGAAAGGTTCTCAGCTCTTTCTGAAACAGTTCCTTGCAGTGCACTCCACTGCTTCGTGTGAAGCCACTTCTTTCCTGGTCGTTCATCCATCTGAATATATCAAGACCTATGAAATATACTTTAACAATTACCCATGACTTTGGATTATCTCAGTTTCCTGATTCACATTGTTTATTGTATCAAGTGACTTTTCTCCAGCAATTCGCAGGAGTCAGAGAAGAGGAACAGACGTCAGTGGGCTAAGCAGGGTGAGTGATTGGCGAACAGGTATAGTAGAGGAAGGAATTTAGGGTGCTGTGTGTACAAAGTTGAAATGCTTAACTGTGAGATACAGCAATTAAGAGTTGCTGGCACTTTCCCGACTCTCTCTGCTGACTGACACGGGTGGAGCTGTGTAGTAAGCAGTGCTCACTGTCTGTAAGCCCCGAGCCTTTTCTTTTCATTGTTCTCTCGTCTTAGGTGAAATTAATTTTCTCCCTCCAAAAATAACGCCTGGCATTTGGTTACTTAGGAATCTACTTTTAAAGCACCTTATTTTTTATTACTCTCATGAGATGAAATGATTAGCTAGACTTTCTAAATATAGTTTCAACCTTAGCTGTTATTTTATTGATTCTTGTCCTTGGAGTTAGGTTAATAATTTTACGGCCTGTGCCTGTGATTTCATTGTAAACTAACTCAAATATTTTTAGTAAGTAAGGCAGGATATAAATAAGTCAATCTATATGTTTAAGGGGAAAAGAAGCCAGGTATGTAAGGTTACTTACAGTATGCTCCCATTTGTCTTTTTAAAAAGGATATATGTAGATAAATACACTTACATACTATACATGTCTGTGTATACACACACACATAGATGCAAACTCACACGTAGAGTGAAAAGAATAGACCTGGGCCCCAGTGACTCAGCCTCAGAGGGTATTATGTTCAGAATACAGTAAAAGTATTTCTAGTCAAAGGACTTAATATGAAACTCTTGTATTTTATATAACCCAAGTTATATAAAACATAATTTGTATGAACACCTCTTTAAGTCTGCATTCCCACACAATCTTTCTGTCTTTTACTCTCTCATAACCTGTAATACCCCAAAGCCTCTGTCTCCATATTTTTTACTTTCTTCCATCCACTAAAACTCTCTCTGTTATCTCTGCAGGTTCTGGGATACCACCCTTTCCTCTTTCTTTCCATTTCTTCTCTCTCTCTCTCTCTCTCTCTCTCTCTCTCTCTCTCTCTCTCTCTCTCTCTGTCTCTCTCTCTCTCAAAGGCCTGGGCCTCTGGATATAAAGCTCCCTCCTACCTCAAGTTCTTTGGTTTTTAACACATAAGCCCCCCTCCACCCCATTTATCCTGTCTACATGATAGGGCAATGGAAAGGGGAAAGGGGTCAGAGAGTAAATATCAGAACTTTTTGTTTGTAGGCAGGAGGATGTAAAGAAGCTATGAATACTCCCACAGTAAAAACGTGGCTGTGTTACACTTGCAAAATATCTGAACAGTTCTATAAGAAGCAAGAGCAGGTCACTTTAGGGGTACACTCCAGGAGTCAAAGATAGGAAAAGGAAATTTTACTTTCATTGAGCAGTTTAAAAAAAAGTCTGTATTGCTTTTAGAATATATATATATTTTCTATCCTTACTTGAGGACATTTTTACATTTATATTCAGATAGAGTGGGAGGGAGAAAGGGAGGAAGAGAGAGAGAGAGAGAAACATTGATGTGAGAGAGACACATTGAGTGGTTGCCACCCACACAACCCAACCGAGGCCGGTGACAAACTGCAATGGAGGTACATGCCCCTAGTGGGAACCGAACCCGGGTCTCTCTGGTCTGAGGGCTGATGCTCTAACCGCTGAGCCAAACTGGCCAGGGCTAGACTACTATTTAAAATTTTTAATTTTTATTGTTGAGGGTATTACAGATGTCCTCCATTTTCCCCTCTTTTTGTCCCCCTCCACCAGGCTCCTGCCCCACCCCAGGCCTTCACCAAACCTGTTGTCTGTGCCAGTGGGCCATGCATATAAGTTCTTTGGTTAATCTCTTCCTGTTCCCTCTCCCCACTTCCCTCTGGGATTGTCAGTCTGTTGTATGCTTCCATGTCTCTGGACATATTTTGTTCATTAGATTCCACATATAAGTGAGAGCATGTGATATTTATCTTTCTCTGACTGGCTTATTTCATTTAGCATAATACTTGCCAGGTCCATCCATGCTGTCTCAAAGAGATCCTTCTTTTTTTACAGCTGCATAGAATTTTATTTTATTTTTTAAAATAGATACAATTTAATGGATGCATATGTTAAAATTTAATGAAAAATATACTTGATAGAGTGAATTGTCTAGTGTGTAAATTATATATAAATTATTATATTTCATTTTAGGCTGCTTTCTAGCACCAAGTGGCAAATCAGATAATTGAGCTGATGTGTGATGATCCATTATTATCAGGAAAATAATTAATATACCTTTTTATGCTGGAAGAAGGGAGGACAGATCCAGGAAATCTAGCATGCGGGTAACGGGAGTTCCAGAGTGAATTACAAAGGAAATGCCAAATTCAATAGACACAGATTTTCCTGAGCTAAATGAAGGTTAATATTTGCAGTTTAAAGTGCTCACAAAATTCTTGGCAGGATTGATAAGAAAAGACACACACTTATAACTCTTCTGACAGAATTCCTGAATCCCAAGGTTGAAGATAAAACTTATGTTTCTAGACAGAAGAAATTATTTACAAAGGGAAAAAAATCAGACTGGCCTCAGACATCAGAATATCGGTACCCAGTGAGAGGAAAGGAATGTAACCTAAGAGGTCTCTTTCCAGCCAAGCATCATTTTCCTGCCATGCTGAAAGGGATGCAGAAATGTAAGGATTCCAGGACTATCACTGATACAGTCCATCTGAGGAAACTGAAGAGAGGCTTCTAACTACGCAGCAAATTAAGGAGAACAGCAATCTCAAGAAAGGAGAAGGTGGTGAGTGAATGATGAGCCTTGTACTGTACATGGATAATTATGGAATGACTGGGACTGTGTATTACACGTGTTAAAGTAAAGACTCTTAAGATAAACGAGACCTACCTATCAAAGCCTGGAAGTAAAAGTTGTAGAATTTCTCAGCAAAACCCAAGAAGTGGAATTGGGAGGAGGGGAGTGGAAAGTGAAAGCATTCTAAAAGTATGATTTAGGAGGAGGGAAGGTATCAGGACATAGACAAATGTGGGAAATAATAACTTTTCATAGAATAGTAATAAAATATGTTTGTTGATGCATATTGAAAACAGGAAACCACTAGTGAAATGGAAAAGCATATTTTGAAATTAGTAAGAGGGAAGAGGGAACAAATTATAACTTAATGCACACAAAATAAAATGGAAAGAAAAAATAAAAATAAAAAGGTTAAAGAAAAAAGTGTAAGTTAATGCTAGTAAATATAAATTAAAGGAAAAAAGGGAAATTAATGAAGTAGGTTCAATAGTAGTTATAAACAAGAGAGAAGTAATAAATCAAGAATATCAGTGATTATCATAAATGTAAATTAGCTCAATTTTCTTATCAAAAGACAGATTGTCATATTAGGTTAAAACAAAGCCAGCTATGTAAGCACACTTAATGTAATAAAGACATATTTAAAGTTTTTTTAAAATATGTCTTTATTGATATTTTAAAGACAGGAAAGGAGAGAGAGATAAAAACATCAATGTGAGAGAGAAAAATCGATTGGATGTCTCCTGCACACCCCCTACTGGGGATCAAGCCTGCAACCTGGGGATGTGCCCTGATTAGGAATCGAACTGGGATCTCTCAGTCCATGGGATGGCGCTCAATCCACTGAGCCACACTGGCCTGGCTAAAGAAGTGTTTTAAAATAAAGAGATTGGAAAAGCAATATCACAAACATTAAAACTATGAGAAACAATATTAATATCAAACAAGGTGGAACAAACATTAAATGCAAACAAACATTAAACAAACTATGAGAAACAATATTAATATCAAACAAGGTGGAACTATTGATAAACAGGAAGAACATTGCCCATAAAAGACAACATAGGAAGATGTACATCAAACATAAAATAGCTAAATATATTTAAGCCAAAAGATTATTAACAATGTAAGTTAAACTTAATAAACATGACATTAGAGTAGATTTTACTATACCTCTTTCAGAACTAGATCTAATAGAGAAAAATAAGGAAAACCATACAAAGATTAATATAATCAACATATTTGCTTTAATAAATATAGACAGAATCTTACACTCTTTAAACAGAAAGTACATACCTATTTCCAAATGGCCATTGACTGTTTATAAAAATTTATTATAAACTTTGCCATAAAAATAATAAAAAAAACTTTAAAAGTAAAGATTTTTAAAGGTCACATTATCCAATGAAATTAAAGTAAATTAATGAAGTTAGAACTAAATGTAAAAGATAAAAATAATATAACCATTTAATTTGTTTGAAACTTAAGACCACCCTGCTAAAATAATCCTTGGATCAAATTAGAAACTTAAATTAAAATTGTAAACTCTCTAAAGCACAAAAGGAAAACCTAACATGACCAAACCTACAAGACCCAACCAAGCTGTACAGAAAGATTAGAAATATAAGAACTCTGTGCTCATCTTAAAAAATTAGGAAGAAAATAAATAAATAAATAAAAGAAAGTAGAAGAGGAAATTAATTCTGAAAGGCTTATATTAATGAAATGTAGACAATAGTAGAAAAGATCAGTAAATCAAAACCCTCCCCAAAGATAAACTCATAATGAATCAGAAGGTAAAAAAAAAAAAATCTAGTAAAAATTAAAATACACATTTTACCCAGCAATTTCTACCTACAGTGCTCATGGAAATAAAAGCATAAATCTCAAGATATACATATACTCGGGGATACTTATCGTAGCAATGTTTGCAGTGGCAACAACTGGAAACAAAGTGAATGCCCTGCAAAGGAAATGAGTGAACAAGGTATGTTATGGCCATACTGTGAAACACTATATAGGCGTTAGAAAGGGTGGATTAATCCTTTCCCAGTTACTGCTGTCTAATAAAGTTCCCTACAACTTACTGACGTAGAGAGCAATTTTATTATGCTCCTGAATTCTGTGGGTGAGGAATTTGGCCAAGCACAGCAGAGACTACAAGCACAATGGAGGTGGTTTGTGTGTTTTCCATGGTGTCTGGGGCCTCATTTGGAAGACATGAAAGCCGAAGAAGACAATGGAAGGAATCTGGAATTATCTGAAGGCTCATGCATTCACGACTGGCAGTTTGGTTGGTAACTGATAGGTTTGCTAGGGCTGTGTGCTAGAACTTTTACACACGGGCTTCCAGCGGAGCCTGGGCTCCTCATAACACGGTAGCTGGGGTGGGAAGTGGGGTTGGGGAGAGAGAACGGGAAACAGACTACACGTTTTTATAGCAGAGCGCTGAGGTTGTGGAATTCAGCAGGTGGTTAACTTTGGTTGAGGAGCTAGGCAGAGGGCAGAGGTAAACAAGGTAAAAGTACATGCATCCCTACCTACGTACATACAAATATAAGAAAGTGCCAATAGTGGGGATAAAAACATGGGGTGTGGGTGTGGTAGTGTCGCAGGTGTATGTGGGTTTGAAAGGACAAGGTTTAGACAATGGAAAGGCCTGTGATGGATCAGATGTAGTGAGTCTCTACGGAGCGCTGTGATTAATTAAGAATGGGGATTTTCCAATTTTGTTGTATATGTTAACAGAAATGGCTTTGAGTCAAAACAGTGACCCTGTTGTCATTAAGGAAGATAGTTTTATTTTTCCTTGAAAAAGTTTCTTCCCACATCTTATATTTGCTCTGCTATTATTTTTAAAACAATATTGTGTTGGCAATCTTTTTCTTTAGTGGTGTAATCTCCGACCTGTGGGGCCAATGTCTGAATGGTTATATCTACTTTGTGGTTTCGAAAATTTAAGTTCAACTAATTATAAATGATGGTGGAAGAATTTTACTTTCAGATGTCTAAATGTCTCATGCCTTTTGGTGTGTTAGTATTACTTTTTGTTTTTGGAAACACTTTATTATGTGTGATTCAGTGATATATCTGTACTTGTTAGCACTTTTTTGTTGTTGTTGTTAATCCTCACCAGATCCTCTTTTTCTATTGATTTTTAGAGAGAGTGGAAGGGAGAGAGAGAGAAACATTGATGTGAGAGAGACACATCAACTGGTTGCCTCCTGTATGACCCCAACTGGGGCCTGGTATTGAACCTGCAACCCTGGTATGTGCCCTTGACTGGGAATTGAATCCAAGACCCTTCGATCTGTGGGCTGATGCTCTAACCACTGAGCAAACTGGCAAGGGCTTGCTAGCACTTTTATGGGTGCCAATTATCCACACCTTTCTTTTTTTTTATCCTCACTCAAGGACATCTTTCCACTTTTGTTCAGATAGAGTGGGAGGGGGAGAGAGGAAGAGAGAGAATGAGAGAAACATCCATGTGAAAGGAACACATCGAGTGGCTGCCTTGTGCACCACCCCAACCAGGGCCGGGGACGAATTGCAACCCAGGTATGTGCCCTTGGATGGAATCTAGCCCACGACTCATTGGTCCATGGGCTGACGCTCCAACCGCTGAGCCAAACCAGCCAGGGCTGTCCACACCTTTCTTTCCTCTCTTTGCTTGCTTGTTTTTGGGTTTTCTCCTAAGCCCTAGTACTCTGAAGAGGTTGGGGAGAGGAAGAGAAAAGAGTCTGAATGTAAACCCAAGGTCTGGAGTTCTTAGATAAGTCTGCTAGCATGAAGGTTGAAATCAGATGTAAGCAGAAGTCAGCCAAGGAATTCACTAATATCCCAGAACTACCCAGGGTCAAAGAGATCAATACCTTCTGAAATTGTGGGTGATTATCTTCCTTTTAGATCTTTGGAGATTTGAGGGCCTTATTACAGCTTTACCACTAGAGGTCAGAAATTAGCCCATGAGCCCCACACAACATCCAGAGAGTAGATAATACTTTATGTATTTTCATTTGGTTTCTCATGAGATTCAGAATACTAACCAGATACCATTGAAATGTAAAGGGAATCCCTGTATCTTTTTTACACCAAATTTTAGCAATCGGATTACTTGGAGTCTAAACCCTAATCCACCCTCAGTCATTAACCTCCAAAAATTTTGTTGCCCACTTACTTACTATACACACTCGCCATCCCAGCATTAAGTGCTTGTTTGTGATAATATATTTACTTGTGATAATATATTTAAAAATTACAAAGAAAACAGAAAATGAATGAGGTAGACTTCTAAGGATACATGCACGAGCTCTGCAGACCTCATCCACTTTTGTGCTCTAATTAGAAATTGTTGGCTATACATATTTTCTCAGCTATATCTTTTTGGCCAGATGCTGCCAAATGAGATCACTTTCTGTTCAATAGCCATAGCAAGTTACGCATTAACTATTGAGTTAATGTATCACGGGCCATTTAAGACGGTGCAACTGTATTTCGAATATTCTCATTTTCTTCAATGATGTCTTTTGTACTTTAGTTCCTCTTTGGTGTGTTGGAAAGGAATTGAAACTAGGGAATAAGTGATATGATATATGTTTTTTGTTTGTTTGTTTGCTTTTTTGTTTACAGTGGAGAGATTTAATTATCTTTTTGCAACTTGTTTGAGAATTCAGTTTTGATATTTCAGTGAAAGCAGATGGGTATTGTTTTTTTTTAGTGGTGTCCACTTTAATGACTTTATCAGTTCTGTTGGGGGTTGGTAGAAGCATTTAGACATGTGTAGCCTGGCTTGCATATTTTTTCGGTTTCCACTTTCCTCAGGCCCCCTTCTGCCCTTGCCACGCCCTGCCAAGTGGAAGGCCAGAACATGCTGTCATCGTCATTGTTGCTGTGGGCCTGTCCCGCTGCCAGCGTGAGGTCCAGGACAAGGCTGCCAACCCCGGCAGGAAGAGAGTGCCGTCTCTACCTAGTCGCTGCCGTGACTGACGTCCCTGCTGCCTCTCTGCTTCCAGGGATAGTGCCGGCTGGCGGAGAAGCAGGCAAGGCTGTCTGGTGACATTTAGGTGGGTGGGCAGTATGGGTTGAATTGTGTCCTCCCCAAATTCATTACCCCAAGGTACCCTAGAATGTGTAGGGTCTTTATAGAGACCATCAAGTTAAAATGGATTATTTGGGTGGGCCCTAATCCCAATGAACTGGTGTCCTTGTGAAAAAGAGAACTTCACACACAGAGCTACGCAGAGAAGGAAGAAAGTGTGAGGAGACACAGGGAGAAGAGGCCCATCCACAAGCCAAGGAGAAGGGCCCGGAGCAGATCCTTCCCTCACAGCCTCAGAAGGAACCAACCCTGAAACGGCTTGATCCTGGACTTCTAGCCTCCAGAACTGTGAGATGATATCTGTTGTGTAAGTCACCCAGCCTGTGGTATTTTCCTGTGGCAGCCCTAGCAGACGAATTACGGTGGGCTTGATTAATCTAAGCCAGCTGTGAGTGTTGAAGTCAGAGTGACCATTTCAATGCAACCTTCCCAGCCACATGCATTATCATATATTACAATTTCCCAATATCCAGCACATGGCCTGACCATGGCAATATTGATATTTATTGATTAAATGAAGGAATGCTTATATTGAATCTATGCTGTTCCAAAGCTTTTTTTGTCTTTTTGCAAAAGCACCATGCAGTGTGTCCTGTAGGTATCTCTGAGAGTATGCCCAGTTGACACCTCCCTGATGTTGCCTATTTGCTTCCCCAATCACCATGCCCAGGACAAAAGAGGGCCTCCTCCTTACTTAGTTCAACTCTCACCCTCAGTGGAGGGCATCCCTTGTAACCAGGGCAACTCCCCCTTGTGCCCCTTGTCTTCTCACAGAGGCTGGTTTAGGAAACCGACTTGTTTTCCTCCTCAGAAAATTGCTCAGCCCTGGCCGGTTTGGCTCAGCAGTTGGAGCATCAACCTGCGGACCAGAGAGTCCCGGGTTCAGTTCCCGCTAAGGGCACGTACCAAAAAAAGAAAAAGAAAATTGTTCAGATTTTGGATGTGAGCAAATCCGCAACCCAAAGGCAAAAGGCAAATGGCTGCCCTAACTCCAATGGCTTTTCTGGACGGTACCCCATTTTGACAGAGAGTTCTTCTTTTTTGTATAGCTGGATGAGGACTTGGATATGATTTCTACCATGTTTGGTACTGTGGGGATACAGTGCCTGCCCCCAAGAATTTATGGAGTAGCAGGAAAGACGACAGGACACATCATTGCTATATGACGATGCAGCACTTATTGTAAATATTAGAGGAATGGGGAAAGGCAACAGGGAAACAGACAAGGAAGTTTATTTTGACTGGGACAGCCAGGAAAGGCTTCATAGAGGACGAAGACCTACGCAAGGTTTTAACAGCTGGAGATGGAGGGGAATGTGCTGTGTGCAAGGAGGCAACGTATTCGAAGACTCAAAGCGGTGGTCAGGATATTCCCAACTACACCTTCCCCTGAGCCTGAGCCAGGCTGATATTCAGTGGGGATATGCCAATGTGAAGGGACCAGTTAGTTACAGTGGGGCCTGGGCCAGACTCTCATTAAGTACTTTGAATATCATCCTCACTGATAAACCAATAATATTTCCTTTTCCTGAGCTAGAACTTTCTCCTCCTCTCCCTTTCCGCCTATCCACATTTCTCATCACTTTCAAAACTAGATTTCCAGATTAATTTTTATCTTTTGCTATCTCCCCACTTCTTTGACTCGATTATTGTTCATTTCTCAAAGGGTGGAGAGTGTACTATTTCAACAACAACAACAACAAAAACCCTCCCAAGTTGATTCTCACAGGCGTGCCCCACCCCTCCCCCAGCTCCAATGAAAAACTGCAGGATTAGGGCAATGAAATCACTCTGCGGTGACTTAGAGAAAGTCTGAGACCAGAAACCATAATAAAGGCCCAAGTAGTTGTGACATATCTCTTTTTACTGAGTTAACTAATTAGTCAAGCTCCATATGCTTGCGTCTAGAATTCGCAGTCAAAACAGATGTCACCAACAGCTTGCCCTGTTCTCTTGTCTTCCAGAATTTCCCTCCGATTTCCAACCTGCAGGGTGGGAAGAGGCCTGGGGCAGTGACTAGAGGAAGCTCAATTTTGAAAACAGAATTCACACACTATTTTGAATTTGGGTTGGTGATGAAAGGCTAAATAGGTTCTCTGTGGGATAAATAGGTTCTCTGTGGGATAAATAGGTTCTCTGTGGTATCGTGCAAAGGAAAGGAAAAGAGGGAAGGAGGTAGTTCTTTGCTGCCTTTTTTTTTTAAATCCTTACCTGGGGATATTTTCCCAAATAATTATCTTTAGATGGGGAAGTGGGGGGGGGGGGGGGAGGAGAAACAATGATGTGAGAGAGACACATCGACTGGTTGCCTCCCACATGACCCTGACCAGGGCTGGGGACCAAACTGCAACTGAGGTATGTGACCTTGACTGGAATCGAACCCGAGACTCTCTGGTCTGCAGGCTGATGCTCCAACCGCTGAGCCAAACTGGCCAGGGATGCTGCTTTGTTTTTTAAGATTTCTTGCTCAACTAGAGCACAGGTTCTGTGAGAAAACATCAGACATCTTTTTTAACCCTCACTTAAGGGTATGTTTTTATTGATTTTAGAAAGAGAAATATTGATGTCTGAGAGAAACATCGATTGGTTGCCTCCCACACGCACCCTAACTGGAGATAGAACCTGAAACCTAGGTAAGTATCCCGACGGGCAGTCAGACTCACAACCTTTTCTTTGATGTATGGGACGATGTTCCAACTGACCGAGACACCTGGCCTGGGCCATCAGACCTTTTAATATCAGTCAAATTATCTCATTATCTGTCATCAGACCCTTCATTTGTAGAGTGCACGTCTTTGGTTCTCCTGAAGGGTGCTCTCAGGTCTCCGTTCTACCATTTTCTCCGCAGTCATCTGGCACCCAGGTCTGACTGTGAGAGCAACTCTGCTCCTATAAATCATATGTAGCCTAGATGTCTGCTGGGGTCCCCCTGCCCTTTTAAATTAAAATAAAACTACCATAACTAAATGCCTTTAATATGAAATGAGAGTAACTGAAAAGAAAATGACTGAGCATTTAACTAAATAAACGAGAAAACAAACAATAAAATAAAGCAAAGAAAGTAACAGGGATGAATTGTTCGCTCAGAAATGAGTACAGCACTGGCCGGTTTGGCTCAGCGGTTGGAGCGTCGGCCTAAGGACCAGAGAGTCCCAGGTTCGGTTCCTGCTAGGGGCACGTCCCCCCAAAAAAAAAAAGATATTTTGCCCTAGCCAGTTTTGCTCAGCAGTTAGAGTGTTGGCTTGCGGTCCGGAGAAATGAGTACAGCCGTGGCCAGTTTGGCTCAGCAGTTAGAGCGTTGGCCTGCGGTCCGGGGAGACCCAGGTTCGGTTCCCGCTAAGGGCATGTACCTCGGTTGCAGTTTGTCCCCGGCCCTGGTTGGGTTGTGCGGGTGGCAGCCACTTGATGTGTCCCTTTCACGTCGATGTTTCTCTTTCTCTCTCTCTCTTCCTCTCCCTCCCTCCCACTCTGTCTGAACAACAACAACAACAAAAAATGAGTACAATCTAAAAGCAGGTTTTACCTTTCTGTCACCTGTTAGTGTCAATACAAATGAATGGTAAAATAGAAAAAAATGAATGAATTAGAAAATAAAAATGAAACAAGAATTGCTAAGTAAAATCTAAAGCCGTTCCTCAAGATATATAAATGTTATAGAGAAAACTCTGGGAAGACTCACTAAGAAAAGAAAAGAAAAACACATTCAGCTTTAGGCCCCAAAAATATACTCACAGATATGGAAGGGATAAAAGAATTATAAGAAGAACTAGCAATACTCAGGGCAGCATCGATTGATTGCCTCCTGAATGCACCCCAACTGGGGATCGAACCCGCAACCTAGGTATGTGCCCTGATGGGGAATCAAACCCACAACCTTGTGCACTGTCTTGGTCTTCCAGCACAGTCTTTGTCTTCTAGTTGTAGTGAATAATAAGGGCAATGATCAAGCTCTCTAAATAACAACATGAAGTTGCCCAGGACTAAACAAAGTTTTTGAAAGGTTCGAACACTAAGTGTTCAGTGAGGCTTGTTGAATGTATTGGTTAAATGTATGGGTAATGAGCTGCCTTTGAATACAAATGACACTTTTGCCTCAGATGGGATAAGACAGGTTTGTGCAGCTGCTGCTTGAGAGCCCTATTGGGACAAGATTCACAGTTGAAACACATCATTCCTGTCTTATGCTCTTCGACTTGCTTATGACTGTTGAGTTGTGTAGCTGGCACTTGTGTTCTGCTCACTGTGTGGCACCCTGCCCTTCTCATTTGCAGTCTTCGGTTTTCTGTCTGTGTTCGGTTGCAGAGTTTCATTTTTATTGATGTAAGTAGGTGGCAGGAAGGTTAAGACCATTTATAAGGATTAGATACATTTCTGGAGTGTTTATTCATGGGTCAAATCAGATATAAAAACACTTTGGAAAACTGCTGTCAATAAGATAGCAAAACAATAGTAACTGATGCTTATTGCAACTCTGTGTTGCAAGGAGTGTTCCAAGCACCTGGTATATACTAACTCATTTAATCCTTGCAACAGCCCTATGAGGTGTAGATGCTATTATTATCCTCATTTAATAGTTGAGAAAATCACGGCACACAGAAGCTAAACAGCTTTCTGAGGTTACACAGCATGGTCAAGATTTGAGCTCAGGCAGGTTGGTACTAGAAGACTGTAATCTTAACTATTCCATTATTGTCATGTAATTTTGAAAGAATGATCATAAAACATAGAAAAATATTGTTTACATTTTGGGGTGATAAAGTCTTTCTAAGCAATCTCTAAAATTAAAAATTTGGGCACAGCAAAAAAACACCATAAACAAAGACAAATGACAGATCTAGAGATATTTCTGTAAAATATATAGAGATAAATTATTGATATCTTTACTATATAAACAGATTTTCTAAATATTAAAACTAAACAATTCAATAGAAAAATGAACAAAGATATAAATATACATTTCAGAGA